GCACTGTTGAGGCTCCAGCAGGCCTAGTCTGGCAGGCTCAGGGGAGGTGGAGGGGTGAAGGCATTGATTTAGTGACAACATCTGCTGGAGTGTCAGAAACAGAGGAAAGGAAGTGGTTCCCCAGGGTCAGGGGTGGCTGGACCTTCGGTGATGGGCCAGGTTTGGACAAAGAGAGGCTCCTCGTTGAAGACTGGATTCATCACCACATCTCTGCCAGTCCTGCGGTCCCTCTGCACCAGCTGGCCCGTCGGGCTGCACCCTCTGCCTGCACTTCCTCCACTCTCTGGGCACTCCCTCCCTCCCCTCCTCCCCTCCCTCCCCTCGCCAGTGTGTCAAGTGCTAGGTGGCAGGAATCTTGTGTTTTTCATCTTTTATAATCACCCCAACAACACCCTTCCTCCTTCTACACACAAAGACACACACATTGAGCACCACACCTTGCTCACCTAAAGCAGCCAGTCCTTGCAAAGTCCACAAGTTCTTACCCCAGTTTAACAATTTCAGGAGCCCTTTGGGTACCATTTCTCAATTACCATGCACATTTGCCATGCTGCACCCATCCCAGGCCGGCCCTTCTTGTCCAAACAAGTCCCTGGAAGATTCTGGGACGTAGCTCCCTCCTCTGTGAAAGAGCTGGGGTGGCCCAGCCACAGTTCCCTCCTGCGCCTGCACAAGAATCGTAGGAACTGCCAATGACACTTGTTGACAGGCACACTCTGGGGTTGGCTCCTTCTCGCAGGGCCTGACACAGAAGGTGGCAGCTGACGCCTAGGTTTTAACATGTGGCCTAGGGGTCCCTGAAGCCTATGGTCCCTGGCTGCCCTTGGAGAGCCCTGCACTGGGAGACCCAGCTACTTTTATGGATCTAAAATGGAAAAGGTGGCTGACCCTGTGTTTGGGGCTGGTGAGGAGTCATGTGGGGACAGACTCCTCTGGAGCACAAGCACAGCTCGATTTTCAGAGGGTCCACTTGCAGGCCAAGGGCCGGGCTGGAGAGGGTGGCTGTGGGGCATCCAGTGTCGGGCCAGGTGGTGCTTCCGGGGCGCCTGCCCGCTGTGACCCAGGGCTGATTCCCATCAACTCAGCTGCTGTTTTTGTTTGTTTGTTCTTCCCGGGCAGGGGTTTTCTATTTCTGCAGAGGGCCCTGGGGCTACGGCACCCAGTTTGGGGAAGGTGGCGGAGTTTGCTAAACCCAAACCCTGGGAGGCTCCGGGAGCGGGCTCCCGGAGAGGGATCAATATCCCCAGGTCTGAGAGGAGGCCTTTGTAGTGTCGACTTGCTGTTTGTGTTTCAGGCTCTAAGTGAGAAGGTTTGCTCCTAATTAAAGGCGTAAATGCTTTAATTCCTGGCCCGAGGGCTTCCCATGGAGCATTAGCGTATTAGGAAGGAAATGGATTGTAATCCCTTTAATATAAACTTGGAGGAACTCGAGGGCTTCGAGTTTGGGAGAAGAATTTCCTCCTGTGATTTAACAATATTAACTCCCTGAATTTGCATAGACAGAAACTTGGGCCCAGTTTTCCCCAAGCGAAGGCCAAGTGGAATCTCTCTCAATGAGTGAAGCTTGCAGTAATTAAACCCCCATAGCACACCAGGGCGTGCGCCCAGTCACCAAACGTGTTCCTCTCCTTTGGTTCTCCCATCTACCCTAAGAATATGTTTTGGGTCAACTATTTATCAATAAAACAATGAAGGTTTAGAGGGGACTAGGCTCACTGGAGGGGGAGGGGAAGACCTCGTGGAGAGCCTGGGGTTCGCCCTGTGCTCTCGACACACTGCATCGAATCCTGTCCACACAACCTTCCTGTGTGCTTTCTAACAATGTCTACTTCGCACGAGCCATGCTTTACAAATACATTCATATCTATTATGCAATTTAGTTTCCATTATGCGATTTAGTTTATCTTACCCATACAATTGGAACCCAACTCTTATATGTGATTTAGACCTAAAAACAAAAAGCAGGACTTGCTTTCTGGCCCATTTTTCACCCTTTGTAAATGTTGAAAAGAGCTGCCTTGCCTGCTGCTAAAAGAGGCAGCAGAACCACGCGCAAGTCCCCTGTGTCCTGTGCTGCAGAAAAATAGTGTGTGTCACGCTGTAAAACGTAAACGAGGTGGGTACAACATGGCGTTTTGCAGTGTTTTGGTGCAAGCTTACAAAAGTTTAAAACATGTTGCCTGGACGGAGGGAGCATTTCGATTCTCTGACCCTGGAAAAGCAGGGCCCCCAAGGCCCTGGGGAGAACCACCCGGCCACGCTGAGTAACCTGCTTCTGCAGGCTGCTGCGTCAGCATTGCCACGGCAATTCTGAAGCCAAGAGATTCACCAGAGACCCAACTGCAACGGAGGCAGCAAACACGGGACCAAAGAGGCCTGGGTATGGACCCCACGATCTTTCGTTCCTCCGGCCTGGCCTCCCTCCAGCTGCCATTGACCCTCCTTTAGAAGCCAAAGGACTCTCTTCAGGGCAGCATTGCAGCGCAGGCTGTGCGGGAGGCTATGGTGAGCAAATACGCAAAACCTCTCCGCTGGCTTCAGACGCCATCCCCCGTCACCAGCAACCCCAGGTGTGTATCACCTGCCCAGTGTCCTTCCCTGAGCTACTGATCCCTTCACCCAGGTGGCAACTCACCTCCACTCGGAAGCCACACAGGCTGCACACCTGCACTACCAAGGTCTTACCCTCCAAACCGGCTGCTCTCCCAGCAAGTCCCACTTCACCAAAGCACCGCCGCCCCCAGCGACTCATCCCAAATACCTTTGACACCTCTCTGTCCTGACCCTGCCGCTTTCTGGTACTTTCGGTGCACGGGAAAACACTTGAACCGAGCCGCCCAGCCAGGGCTCATTTTAACCATTTTAAGTGTACAGCTCAGTGGCAGTAAGTACCTTTACAATGTCGCAACCATCACCACCATCCATCTCCCAAACTGAAACTCCATGTCCACTAAACACTGACTCCCCTTGCCTCCCTCACCTCAGCCCCTGGTAACCACTGTCCTACTGTCTGTCTCACCAATCTGATGGCTCCAGGCACTTCATATAAGGGAAATCATGCGATACGCGTCCTTTATGGTGGCTTGTTCCACTTAGCATGATGTTTTTCGTGGTTTACCTGTGCTGTAACGTGTCAGTACTTCATTAATGTTTAAGGCTGTATAATATTCCACTGTCTGTACCACATCTTGTTCACCCACCACCCGCTGAAGGAGCTCGCGTGCCTCCTTNTACTGTCTGTCTCACCAATCTGATGGCTCCAGGCACTTCATATAAGGGAAATCATGCGATACGCGTCCTTTATGGTGGCTTGTTCCACTTAGCATGATGTTTTTCGTGGTTTACCTGTGCTGTAACGTGTCAGTACTTCATTAATGTTTAAGGCTGTATAATATTCCACTGTCTGTACCACATCTTGTTCACCCACCACCCGCTGAAGGAGCTCGCGTGCCTCCGCCNATGTTTAAGGCTGTATAATATTCCACTGTCTGTACCACATCTTGTTCACCCACCACCCGCTGAAGGAGCTCGCGTGCCTCCTTTTTGGGCCGTGGTGAGTAATGCGAACCTGGGCGTGCGATCATCTCCTCACGCCCCTGCTTCCAAACCTTCGGGTATATGCCCGACGTGGAACAGCTGGATCAGACGGTGACTCTGTTTATCTTCTGAAGGGACCGCCAAGCTGTTTGCCACAACTGTTGCACCATTTCACACTCCCACAGGCAATGCTGGTCCCGGCCTCGGGCGTTCCGGTTCCTCCACCTCCTTGCCAGCGCTCCCAGCGAGTGTGAAAGGGGGAGGACTTTTGACAGGTGGGAGAGGGATGAGCGGGATGAGCCAGCCTTTCAGGCAACAGAGGCCCAGGCAGGGCGATGGTGTAAGGCGGGTCCAGTCACACACAGTCTGATGTCATAATTCACATGGGGTTCTGTTTGCCTCCCTTTTCTGGAAACAGACTGATTCTGAAGAGGCTGGAAAGCCCCCTCCTGGGTTCCTCAGATGCCGCCAGGGTCCATGGTGGCTCCGGGGTGACAGAGGGGGAGCCAGGGACAGGGGCGCTGATATGCAGGAGGTCGGCCAGCCGCCTGATCACAGCGACCAGAGGCTGAGGCCCAAACAGCACGCATCATGTAGGTCAGGGTGGCAGCGGGGCAGGCCAGCCTCCGCGCCGCTGGCAGGGCAGGGGCATCATCACCCCTTGGCAGCAGGACGGGTAGGTGCTGTCTGCACTGAAGCTCGTCCCCAACCCCAGCAGAGGAGCTGTCTATGCACAGAAAGCAGGGGGCGCCGGAGCCAGCTGAGCTCTGGCAACCGCAGTCCACTGAGTGGAGGGGGCCCAGGGCAGGGTTCCGTGGGCATGAGCTGGAGGACCGGCCAAGAACACAGGGCCCATGAACACAAGCCCAGGGAGTGCCCCAGCGCCCGGTGTAAGGCCTCCCGCAGGACTTCAGGGCTGGGGACAAGGCACAAGGCTGGACCTACATGTGCTGTTGTTTGACTGGGACACAGAACCCACAATTGCCTTCCACTGCCCCCCCCCAGTCCCAGTCTCTAGGTGAGTGCTTCTGAATCAGGCCGCCTCTAAGTCCTGGGCTGGCTTCCTCTGAGCAGCCCAGAGCCCTGGCTCGGAGGGACTTGTGCTGGATCAGCTCCTCCTGGCTCTGAGAGCCCAGTGCTTGCTCATGTGCAAAACTCCGCCTCGGTGACAGCTCAACATGGGCCACGGTGGGAGCATGTGCACCACAGACACTGGCAAGGGCTGTGACCCGGGCTTACTGCCTCGAGGGAGCTTAAACGTGACCAGCGTTGCACGTGATGCTCGAGAGCGAACCTGATGCTCTCACACCTCTAACTCCTCCGAGTCCTGCTCCAGCCCTCTGTCCCCGGGCCCCTGTCCACCAGCCCCTTTATCCCTGCTGCCCCCCCGCCCAATGACTGAATAATGTACAGGGTGGGGCGAGGAGGACCGGGCAGGCGGACTTCGTGCGCAGTCCCTGCCTATGGCGGAAGCAGGGCTAACCAACTTGTCTGTGCCTAGGTCGTCGGCCATGGCACGTGCGGTGCACCCCAGACAGGTGAGTGCTGTGGGTTTCTGTCCCCTGTGACCACCTCGAGAATGGGCAGCAAACAGGCCCAGGGAAGGGCCAGGTTCTTGGGCTCTGGGGCTCCCTCTGGTCATGACCCTGGAAGGTCTCCTTTAATGGGCAGAGGAAAGCTAAGGGTTTACAGTTTTCCAGAGGTTCATCTATTTATTCGGCGTGCACTTATTAGGCACCCTCGGTGCATTGGGCACTGTGCTGGGCTTTGAGGCTGCAGGGATGCCTCAGGTTAGGTCTTAACCCAGTGTCCTCACTAAATCAGCTACAGTGCACCCGACAAATGCTGGGGTGAAGATGTGACACATGCTACAAAAGCAGAGGAAGAAGGCTAGTTCCTGGGTGGGAGAGATGTGGGGGAGAGTTAATCTGGGTCTTGGAGGACATGTAGGAGTTTGCCAGTGGGTGAGGCGCACAACTGGCTTTTCCAGCAGGAAATAAGAGCAGGTGTGCCAGGCACCTGTGAGGAGAGGAAAGCAGTGAAGCTGGAGGACAGGGGCCATGGAGGGGAGCCACGGGTGCGGTGGCAAGGGCCAGTGGAAGTCAGGTCGTGCAGGGCTCCGGATGCCTGGCCACTAACGCCTGTGAGCAGCAGAGTGAGATGGGATCTCTTGCTTTGTTCTTGCCCTTGCCCTTAGGCCCCTGTGGACTTAGACATATACCAAAGCTCCTACATGGTCGACTATCAGCCCTACGGGAAGCACAGATACACCAGAGTCTCACAGCAGGAGGTAAGGCAGCGCTCAGCATTGCCTCCTGTCCCATGCCCACCCGAAGCATCTTATTTCATTTCTAGTAGTGTGTGGACATTGGAGGCACTTGTTTAGGACAGTATCTGATGCCAGGAGGTCTAAGAGGTGTGTGTGTGAAAATGTACAGCAGAGACAGGTCCTGCGTGCAGAAGGGTGTAAATAATACACAGTGTTCCAAACACGCTGAGGAAGCGACCGCGGGCGCCCACCAGCAGGAGCTCAGACGCAGCGGCGGGACCTCAGAGCCCCGGCCTCCCGCTCTCGCCCCCGCCGCCCAGAACAGGGGCCGCGCCGGGCGGGGCCCGTCCTTCCTGGGCCCGTGGTTTTGAGAAGAAGCAGTCTTACCCTGTGCGCACGTACACTTCCAGAAGAAATGTTTTGGTTTCCCTTTTAGCAGCTTCATTACGTGTTGGGTCGTATCACTTGCACTCTTCTGTGACTCATTTCCTGCTGCACAAGTCACACCCCACGAAATGCCACCAGAGCCCTCCCTTCTCCTGTGGGAGGGCATTTGGGGTTTTACTTTTTTGTTACCCTCCCGCCCCCAAATACCGCAGAGAAGATGCGGCACAGCCTCACCACGAGGCAGCCCCCGGGAGTGGCGCTGGTTGCCGCGGGGGCCACGCTGTTTTCCAAGTGGCGCATCAGTGGACTTTCTCCCCAGCAGGCAGTCTCGCCCGTGGCTCTAATCTTGCCATTCTTGGTATTACCACACCTTTGAGCTGTTTGCCAATTTGGCGGCTTTGAAATAATTTTTTCCCAGCATTATTTATGAATATTTATTATTCTGTGAAATGCCTGTTCACCTCTTTTGACCACTTTTCTGTTGAATTGCTTGTCTTTTTCTTATTAATTTGTAGGAGCTCTTTAAATTCTCGACATCTTTCATTTATCAGTTATGTATAAGAAATCCTTTTCTATCTTGAGGTACCCCCACTAAAAATGACAAGATCTATACAAACGAAGGTGGGACAATTTCTGAGATACATTGTTTAGTGGAATCAAAGTGCAGAATTCAATTATAATATGCATTGTCTATGTACAAACCAGGGGTGTGGATATATACACATGTGTTTATATGTGCAAATAATATTTCTAGAAAGATAGGAAAAAAAACTGGTGACAGTGGTTGCCTCTGGAGATGGGAGGGTGGGAAAGACTTTTCATGATGAACTATTTTGCATTATTTCAGTATTTCCCTCTGTTGTTTATATCACCATTCAAGAACTAACTTAAATTTTTAACTAAAGTGTGCTCTGTCTTGAATACTTCCAAGAAAGCCACAAGTCCCCTGCCTGGCTCAGCCTTCCATTCACGTGTGATTTGTTCCCACAGCAAGCGAAGGTGGACACCCAGCTCAGGGAAAAAGAATTTTATAAGCCCACCCCCAACCCCTACCCCAAGCTAGAAGATGGGTACCCTGCCTTCAAGAGACCTTACATGAATGCCAAAGACCTGGGGCAGAGCAGCTTCTTCCCGTCGCTGGACCCCATGAGCACCGAGGACAAATACAGGTTCCGCTGCACCTGCCCCTCCAGGTACCAGGCTTTCCACGCTCTGCCCCTGGCCCCGGGCCGACTGGACCGCAGCCACCAGAGTGCGGCCTTCCCGTGCCTCCTGGAGCCGGAGCCCCAACCTGCTGCAGAGGACCGCAAAGGCTACTTCCTGCTGCCGGGCTGCCCCTGTCCTTGCCACCCCGCGGTCAAGGTCCCCATCTTGACCCGATGGGGCCCCTTACTGCCGTTTTACCAGTAGGAAGTCACTAAGGAAATCCCTCCTCTCACAGGGAGCTCCCTGCTCTAGCTTCGGATTCCAGGGAGGAGAGCTGAAAATAAAGCCTTGGAAAGCCCTGGCTGGTTTGGCTCAGTGGTTAGAGCGAAGGCCCTCAGACTGAAGGGTCCTGGGTTCGATTCGGGCCAAGGGCATGTACCTCAGTTTCTGGCTCCATCTCCTGCCTGGACCATGTGCAGGAGACAACCAATTGACCTGTGTCTCTCACATCAATGTCTCTCTCCCTCTCTCTCTCTCCCTTCCACTCTCTCTGAAAAGCAATAGAAAAATATCCTTGGTGAGGATTAAAAAAAAAAAATTGGAAAGATGTCCCAGGGGCTCTGGGACTGAGCTTGTTGCCCTTATTCCCTGGCTGCCCCGGGGGGAGGGAGGGAGGGAGGCAGGGAGGGAGGGAGGCGAGTGTGTGGAGGGCTGGGATTGGTGTGATGTCTCATTATAATTAGGGATCCTGCTGTGAAGATTCTTACTGCTTTAGGCATTTACTTACAGAACAGGAAACGCTGAGTTTCCCAGGGTCATCTGAACCTCAGGCGTGGCAGGGAAACCTCAAGTGCTCCGGGGAGCTCGCTGTGCTCACTCCAGTTCGCTCAGCACCCCGCCCTGTGCAGTCGGGGTGGCCATCTAGGAGCTATCGCTTTATACTTTCTTTCTTGCTCGGTAGAGCTTTTGTAAACATACAAGGATGAGCAGTTAGGAAACAGGCTAAGCTGCTGTGACACAGCGACCACAGTGGCCTGAACACCTGGGCCGTCAAGGAGGACGTGGCTTCCGGCTCTGGGCCTAAGGGGCTGCTGTGGCTAAACTGTGTCCACCCGATGTTCACATGTAGAAATCCTAACCCCCAGTGTGACTGTGTTTGGAGACAGGGCCTTTAGGAGATAATTAAGGTTAAGAAAAATCATAAGGGTTGGTCCCTAATCCAATAGGGTTGGTGGCCTTCTAAGAAGCAGAGCTTTGCTTCTAAAAGCTCTCGCACAATCAAGTGCTGGTAGAACAGAGGAACAGGTAAAACAATACCAGTGGAAAATAAAAGCTGTAGCTGGGTGTTGGCTTTATGGAAGTTCATTATCCTATCCTTTCTACTTTTTCATGTTTGAAATTTTTGATAATAAAACATTAAAAAGGGAGAGGGGAAGGAGGGAAGGAGGAAAGGAAAGGGGGGAAGAAAGATGTCCCCCTTTAGATTGTCATCAGCCATTTCTCAGTGTGTCTAATTTATAATAGTCTCGTCCTTGCTATGCTTTAGGAAAAAAGAA